TCAGAGGTCAAATTTGGCAGTGTTCAAGGTCATATCCGAACGTAAAATTTTCCGCTCTTTTAATTTCTGTGGTCAAAAATATGGGGTCCCATTTAAAAAATTGACCTAACCTTGAAATGACCTTCAAGGTCATTGTCAAGGTTAAATCCAAGGTCACAGTCAGATAGCCAGGAAAAAATCATAAAACCCAGTACTTCGCATTTTTTCTAGAACTCATATTTTTCGAGTTATTCTGCGCTTACTCGGACTTTTATAACACCCTGTATATACAGGATGTTTGATAGCTGATCATGCAGACGAAAGATGGAGATAGATTGGGTGTAGTCGAGAAGAAAAGTCATGTACCATAATGTCAAATTGGCAATAGTTACCGAGTTATTAATTAAAACATGTGAGCTAACGAGCGCGTAGAGAGCGGAGGGCGGCCGCAGTAAGCACGTAGATTTGATACAGGCGGAGTCAACGAGTGACGGTAGGCAAGCGCGCGCGGCGAGGAGCGAGCGAGAGCTTTTTCTTTATAGCTTTTTCCTTATAGCTCGCTCGCTCCTCGTCGTTCGCGCTCGCTCGCTCTTCGTCGCACTCGCTCGCCTCTTGTCGCTTGCGCTCGCTCGCTCCTCGTCGCGCGCGTTCGCCTCTTGTTGTTTACGTTGCCCCTCGCCGCGCGCGCTCGCCTGCCGTCACTCGCTGATTCCGCTTGTATCAAATGTCTACGTGCTTACTGCGGTAACCCTCCGCTCTCTACGCGCTCATTGGCTCACATGTTTTAATTAATAACTCGATAATTATTGGCAATTTGACATTATGGTACATGACTTTTCTTCTCGGCTACACCCAATCTATCTCCAACTTTCGTCTGCATGATAAGCTTTCAAACACCCTGTATATATATTATGTGTCTTTATACAGGGTGTCTCAGAACTTTGGGACACGGGCTCCGTAGGGATGTAGAGCTAAGTGAGAGAAACAAAAAAGTCCTGTACCATAATGTGAAAGTCGTAATAGTTTTTTAGTAATAACCGCGTAAAGTTTGGCGTTTTCCACGCCCATCGCGGCCTATAGACGCTCCGCGGCAAGTTGTGTGCGTAGAGGCTGAGCGATAACGCGTCTCGCGCTGACCGTCGCGCGGCATCAAAGCGCCAAGACGCCATCGCGATAGTCAGCGCGAAACGCATTATCGCTCAGCCTCTACGCACACAGCTTGCCGCGGAGCGTCTATAGGCCGCGATGGGCGTGGGAAACGCCAAACTTTACGCGGTTATTACTAAAAAACTATTTACGATTTTCACATTATGGTACAGGACTTTTTTGTTCCTCCCACTTATCTCTATGTCTCTAAGGAGCCCGTGTCCCAAAGTTCTGAGACACCCTGTATAACATTACATATACAGGGTGTTTGATAGCTGATCATGCAGACGAAAGTTGGAGATAGATTGGGTGTAGCCGAGAAGAAAAGTCATGTACCATAATGTCAAATTGGCAATAGTTATCGAGTTATTAATTAAAACATGTGGGCCAACGAGCGCGTAGAGAGCGGAGGGCGACCGCAGTAAGCACATAGACATTTGATACAGGCGAAGTCAGCGAGTGACGGTAGGCGAGCGCGCGCGGCGAGGGGCAACGTAAACAACAAGAGGCGAGCGAGTGCGACGAAGAGCGAGCGAGCGCGAACGACGAGGAGCGAGCGAGCTATAAGGAAAAAGCTATAAAGAAAAAGCTCGCTCGCTTCTCGTCGCGCGCGATCGCCTTTTGTCGCTTACGTTGTCCCTCGCCGCGTGCGCTTGCCTACCGTCATTCACTGACTTCGCCTGTATCAAATGTCTACGTGCTTACTGCGGCCGCCCTCCGCTCGTTGGCTCACATGTTTTAATTAATAATTCGGTAACTATTGCCAATTTGACATTATGGTACATGACTTCTTCTCGGCTACACCCAATCTATCTCCAACTTTCGTCTGCATGATCAGCTATCAAACACCCTGTATACAGGGTGGTTGATTATAAGTTGCCAACCCGAAATGTAAAGGTAGATTGGGTTAAGATAAACATAAAAGTCCTATACCGTTTTGCGAGATTCGCAATAATTATCGAGTTATTAATGACAGAAATCTGAGGAATGGGAGCGCGCCGACATAGATGATTGGAGAAGTGTTGCAGCTACTCAGGCCACAGCGCGGCCCACTCGACCCAGCAACTGTTGGCGGCGTGCGGCGAGACGTATGTCCGGCGAGATAAAACAAGGAATAGCGGCGCATTGTCTTTCCCCTCGCCGCGCACTGGCAACAGTTGCTGGATCAACTGGGTCATGCTGCGGCCTAAGCAGCTACAACGCTTCTGCAATCATCTATGGCTACGTTTACACGCTTCTAATTTCGACTTAGTAACGCTAATGTTATAACTCCTACTTAAGGTGAGTTGCGTTTACACATTTACGCTTATCTATTTGAAATAACTTAATAACTTTCGAATGAGTCAAGGACTTTCATTAGTACCAATATAAAAGGTCGAAGAATGAAATGATTGTGATTGTAGTCTGAATATAAAAGAATTAGAATATGAAAAGAATAGTATGTAAATAAATCAACAAATAAAGTGAACTTTTAGGTTGTATTATGAATTTGAAAATTATAAAATATGTATATATCTATATAGTAAAATTTAATATTTAATATCTATATAATAAATTAATTTAATATCTATATAATAAAATATAATATTTAACTAAAAATGAAATTAAAATTTTAGGTTATCAATTTTGGAAAAAATTAATCATGGAAAATATGGGAAGCGTACGCTCGTTTGTTGCTATATATTTGAAAATAGTAGAAAATATGACGATGCAATATATACTATATATTGCATACTATATATGTACGAAATATTTTGATTAAACGGCGAAAGCGTCAGAAAGAAATTATATTACAACATTTGTTGAACTTAACACCACCAAATCATTTGCTTGATCTCGGACCCGTATTACAATTTTCACGACATAAATCAATTTTACAATCAAGTTAAGATGTTCAGTTTTTATATTGGTATTATTGTCATATTAACACTGCGTCCGTTTACACGTCTTCCTTACGTTAATGTAGAAACTCTAAGCCTCTTCACCAAATGACTTTGAGTTACTACATCAATGTAATAACTTCGTCGTAAAGGAGTGTTTACACGGCATCTAACGTCAGTAGTTATAACATCGATGTTATAACTTTGGCGTAAATTGGGCTGTATAAACGTAGTCTATGCCAGCGCGCTCCCACTCCTCAGATTTCTGTCGTTAATAACTCGATAATTATTGTAAATCTCGCAGAACGGCATGGGACTTTTATGTTTGTCTTAACCCAATCTACCTTCACACTTCGGGTTGTAAACTTATAACTCCCCACCTTGTATATACATATAAATGTATTACATACATACAAACAACATACATACAAATGTATTAATTAAAAAATGCATGTAATAAATACTAATTACGAGGGCGGTCCTATAAGTACTTAGCTTCACCGCCCGATGGCGCCACTATCGCAAGAGAAATTTACTATCGTGTAGTACATTCTCGTAGACGGCTACTGTCGAAATTTCAGCCGAATCGGACTCGTAGTTTTGTCTTGACCGCGTGTGGAAGCGGGCGTGTCCGCGGATTTTAGAAAAATGGAAAAAGAGCAATATCGGTCGGTGATTCGATTCTTGTTTTTGGAAGGGAAATCGCGCAGCGGAATCAAAGAGCGCTTGGATGCTGTGTACGGTGACTCTTCTCCTTCGATGGCGACCGTCAAAAATTGGTTTAACGAGTTTCAACGTGGTCGCACGTCGGTTTTTGATGAGCCACGCCCAGGTGCCCCGAAAACGGCTACCACGGAGGATAACATGACAAAAATCCACGATCTCGTATTGGCAGACCGCCGATTGAAGGTGCGCGAGATAGCTGAGACAGTAGGCATCTCAAAAAACCGCGTGGGTCATATCCTGCATGAAATTTTGGGCATGAGAAAGCTGTCGGCGCGATAGGTGCCGCGTTTGCTCACTCCGGATAACAAGCGCAACCGTGAGACCACTTCAGAGCAGTGTTTGACGCTGTTTAAGCGCAATCCGAAGGAGTTTCTGCGTCGTTTCGTGACCGTCGACGAAACATGGATCCACTGGTACACACCAGAGACCAAGGAACAGTCGAAACAGTGGACTTCACCCGGCGAACGTGCTCCGAAGAAGGCGAAGACTGTCCTATCGGCCGGAAAGGTGATGGCCACCGTTTTCTGGGATTCACAAGTGTGTGATCTACATCGACTACCTGGAGAAGGGCAAAACGGTCACAGGGCTGTACTATGCCGAATTATTGGGCCGATTCGACGCCGAATTGCAGAAAAAACGGCCCCATTTGGCGAAGAAAAAAGTGCTCTTCCATGACAACGCACCGGCTCACACCTCCGCCCTCGCCACGGTCAAATTGGTCGAATTGGGCTATGAACTGCTGCCCCATCCACCGTATTCTCCAGATTTGACCCCGTGCGACTTCTTTTTGTTTCCAAACTTGAAAAAGTCACTCGCCGGGCAGAAATTTGAGTCGAATGAGAAGGTCATCGTCGCCACGGAGGCCTACTTTGCAGACCTCGAGAAAACGTATTTTTCAGACGGGTTAAAGAAGTTGGAGCATCGCTGGGTCAAATGTATCGAGCTAAAAGGAGACTATGTTGAGAAATAAATCGCCACTTTTCCAAAATTTTCGTTTTTCTTTTGTAGGCTAAGTACTTATCGGACCACCCTCGTATACCTCTTTTTGAATTGTGTGTCCATTCTCCTTCATAAAACATAGAAAAGGTTATTTGTATAATGAATTTATCTTCCTATTCTTCTGTAATATATGTATTTTTATTTGTAAGAGTAAAAAAAACATAAATTAAAAAAAAATAACAAAACATAGGCGGGAATACGCAACCTGGCGAATACTAGCACCGCGCACAGTCTGCTGCCTTACGCCGTCATTTGAAAATAACTCTGCAAATGTTAGAATAACGGAGCATACTTAAAATCGCGAAATTTCAATTTATAATTTTTCCCAAATGCTTGAGTGTTGCATTGTCTCCGGTTAACAGTAACTTTTGCTAGACCTATACTACATTTCTGCCAAAGCTCGTCAAAATCAGTAACCGCAAGTTTGGCAGCAGCCCTTGTCAGATTATAGCCTAGAAAGAATTAGCCTCGCTCGCGTCGCTGAGCGAGAACGAGAGCGAGAAAGAGGGAAAGATATTCTCCATAGACTTATATAAATAGACTGCGCATTCAATGAGAGAACTTGAAGAAAACATTAAAATGAGAGAACCGATAGCTGAGTGAGTGTGTCTCTGTCTAACATGTGTCTTGGTGGGGGAAGCTGAAGAGGTGAAGGAGAGTAGGAGAGTTGTACGAGCAGTACTAATGTTATGTACGAATGTTAAATTGTTGTGGACAAAATTGTGACAGCATAAAAAATGGTACGATATTGTTGTATATACAAGACAGAGTCTGGAGCTAATGAAGATACTTCAATTCATATGTGAGTGATATAAAATCTGTAATATATATTGTACTGTAATATATACTGTAATATATCTGTAATATTTATTTAACCCTTATCGTACGATATGTTTAGAAATGGAAAAAAATTTGTAATATTTAATATTTATATAAATTATAAAAATGTATTGAAAGATATTTTAAATTATTCATTTTAGACATAAAAAAATATAAGATGATATGTTTTCAATATTCTCAAAAACGAAAACCTGAGAGAAAAATGGTTTAAAAATATTGGTAGAAAAGTTGGAAAGTTTAGTGGAGTATGTAATAAACATTTTGAAGCAAAAGATATTCAATATAAAGTAGTTGGAGATAATGTAAAAAGATTTTTAGTACCTAGATCTGTCCCAACTTTAGCACTAACTCAACCTACTCCTACTTGGTATACTTTAACTTAATATAAATATTTTCTGTTGATTATTGTGTCTCTTAAACTATTAAAATATGTATATTTTTTTGTCAGTGAAAATATATTGAGTGATGTAGAGGCAACTAGCTCAAGTGAAATGCTTTTGTCAGTAAAAAATTGTGGTGAAACTTTAGTTTTGTTGGATTCATATCATCAATTACAGGCTAACAAGTAATGTGTTGCTTTTATAATATTAACTCATTTGCAATGCAATAATAATAATAAAAATAATAATAACAATAATAATTTCTAGGGATAACTCAAGTATAATTTCAACAGATATCACAAATATTAACATACAAGATTGTGTTGAAATTGCTGATTATAATGATGTGAGACAGAAAACTGGTTTGAAAAGGTTTGATTACAAATATTGATGCTATTATTTGTTGTATGTCTTGTACAAAATACTTTAAATACATATTGCTATGTTTTTCTCTTTCAGGAAATCAAATGAACCAATGAAGGATAGTAAACGTTTCAATGCACCTCGGTACATTGGAGATCTACGAAGAAAAGACTTTACTAGTGACACAAGTTGGAAAATTGTCCAAAAGTTTGTTAAAACATCTAAATCCCAGAGCAAAGTTTTAAATCAAAAAGTAAAACGTCTGGACAAGAAAGTGAAAAGTTTAAAATCATTATTGCATCATTTGAAGAAGAATGGCTTATTATCAAGTGAAGTTAATAATAACCCGACATGTCGTCAATTTAGATCAAGTTACAATAAATTAGTAACTCACGTTAATTCAATTGTCCCAGATACATCAAACTGTATATTGCAGAATGATACTAATATACTAAGATTAAGTGATACTTCTACAAGTACAGAAATATCTACTGATAAGCTACCTAGTATTGTATTTGAACACGATTACATGGGCAGTAATGGGTGGTCATGGAATGAGTACAGCCATGAAATTGTGACATATATTGCTGGTTCGAGTGTGAAAAGTATTAAACCGTCAATAAAATGTGAGTTATGCCTTGATCAGTTAGAGAATGACTCCACTTCTTCAAAGCTGATAACTTTAAAAAATAGGGTAACGAAAAATAAAGAAACTACCAATTCTCAACGTAAAACAGGATTAATAACGCCAAGCGATGATGTCATTACTATTTGTAAAACTGCGGAAAAAGTATTAAGAAGTACACCAAATTTATCCTGTATGAAAAATGTGCTTAAAAAAGTAATGATGCATGCCAAAAAGCTTTTACTTCCTTTAAATATTTTTTCAAAACTGGATATGTTTCTTGAGAAAACGATTCTTCATAATCATAAACTAGACTTAATTAATCAAATTTTGAATAGATATTTCAAGATCCGTCTTCATCATGAGGCTAAATCTTCACAAGATTTAATTAAACGTAGAACTTTCCACAATCGTATGGTTTTATTTACAAATCAATAAGTACAAATAATAATAGATAATAATAGATAATAATAGATATGGCTTATGCGAAATTATTAGTTATACAAATTTGTTGAAATATTCAAAATAAATATTAATTTGTAATAAAATGTTAATTGTCAATTTATTTTTCAGTAGGCTTCTTTTTTCTTCCCTGCCGCTTAAATTGAGGAACATTAGTTATTTTGCAACTTTGTTATATTATTTAAACGAGCTTGATAAAGTATTTGTTTTTCGCTCTCGCAATAAGTTTCATAATCTTAAGCTAAGACTCCATGCATGCGGTGAGCTGCGGCAAATGCTGCGATGACCAATCAGGAGGGAGGCGCAAGTCCGGTTGCGGCAAGCTCCGGGATGCGTCTGTCTCCTGATTGGTCACCGCAGCCGTTTGCCGGAGCTCACCGCATGCATGAAGTCTTAGCTTTACATGACTGTTTTTATTTCAATTTATTATTTTTAAATAAAATTTATTGTTCTTGTAATACAAATATTCAAAATCTATTTTATTATCAGTTCGATTATATTTATATTAATACAAACAAAAAACAATTCTTCATCAGCAGGATTCGAACTGTTACGACTATTATCCGAAAAATAGAATAGGACAGAGAAACGCTTCGAAGCATTTATTATTTTTCTCCTTATGTCCTTTTCTCCCCTCTCCTAACACAGAGCGAGAGAGAGAGCCTCATTCACACAATGTCTCTGTCCTCTAATGTTGTCTTCAGCGCGCCCATAGGCGCAGTCTATCTATATAAGTCTATGATATTCTCGCTCGCGTCGCTGAGCGAACACGAGAGCGAAAAGGAGGGAATGATATCTCTCTGTCGCTCGGCGCGCCGACAATTGCCGAGCACGCAGTAGACTGAGCTATGTGTGCGTACGTGGTGAGGGAAATCAGAAAAGAGTATGTACATTGACATCGTAGTTCATGTGCACGGTTGTGCAGAGGGCGCCTCACACTGGGCTCGGCTAAATGCGGCCCGTGACCTCTCTCCTTCTTCTCTCTGGTTCTATTCTCTCGGATTCAGATCTCACTCATTCTGATCTCAATATCGTAAACACCCAATGACAGAAATCTGACGAATGAGCGTGCTGAAGTGGATGATTAGAGAAATGTTGCAACCGTTCGGGTCACAGCACGACTTACAAGAGGAGGACGCATCGACGCAATCTTCTTACTAACTCGTACAATTTGTTGGCTCTTTTCTTTAGACCGTTTTTTTTTTAAACGAAGTGCATCGTATGCTATTACCATGAGTTATTAGTAGTTAAGTACTATTAACTCCGTAAGTTTCGTTTCAAACCGTTTCCCGGTCGATGCGTCCTTCCCTTGTTAGTCCATCCAGCAACTGTTGGCAGTGTGCCAACGAGATGTAGGAGTAGCACGTTGTTCTTCCCTTTACCGACTCGTCAGATTTCTATAATCTAAAACTCGATAACTATTGCAAAATCGCGAAAAGAACTTTTATGTTTATCTTAATCCGCTCTGTCTTCATGAACTCCTCGTACTGACAAAGAAACATAGGTAACTCGAGACTTCAAAAAATGAAACTTTGTGTGTAAGTAAAGTAGTTCATCCGTAATACAAAACTATTTTTTGTTCGTGCGGACTTCCAGTCTGCGGGTGTGAAACCACCCTTTGAAGAAAAAAATCATTTTCATTTTTAGCGTATATCTTTTAAAATACGAGGTATATGCAGAAATAGTTATAAAAGTTGTAATGTATTTCATACACTTTGCAACCGTGTATTCAGATTTTGCAGAATTGAAAAATTTTTGAAACCCCCTCTATCCTCCTCCAATTTTGCACAATCTGAATACGCAGCCATACACACTGCATGTACAAATATATACAATACACGCAGACGTAAATCCGATCAACCTTCACACCTTCACACTTTAAATAATCCTGATGTTAGCGGTATTGTAATTTTCAAATCTCATAACTTGAATGGTATTTGATGAAAAAATAGTTTATTATATTTTGGAAAATTTTTAAAATAAGTTATAAAAATATTCAATAGAAAATAAGGTTCCATTTAAGATTTCAAGATGATTTTTATATGACCTTTTTTTTTATCTCGGTGGAGAAACCCTCATGGGTACCCTCACCCCCTCGGGGGGAGGAGGGTTATGACGGACTCTTACCGGCTAAAACCTTATCAGGATGTCTTCTACGGGGTTGGTTGGAACGGCCGGAGGAAACTAACTCAATATCGTGCGATTCTCCGACCGCTCCACAATCTTTACATGATCTGGACAACGCTATTCAAGGTCACAGTATTATTATGTAATGTTTAAAATCTTATAATGTTTATACGAAACATTTTTCAAGAAAATGGGTTTTTCAAAAAAAAAAAAAAATGTAAAAAATACGACTGATACGAACAATCTGTTATATCCTGTACAATTTTATATAATTATGCATACATTTTTACTCAGATATAATAAACATTGATTACCTGATTGCGACGCTAAACACTTAGAACAAACTTTGCTATCACATAGAAAAATGTCGTTTATTATGTTTATCTCATCAGGAGTTAGAATCATGGGTAATTCAGGATCCAATAAGAGGGAAGGCAAAGCCACCTAAAAGCATCGACTTGTAATAATGTCGATATGCAAATGTCCATGTTTGTTTATGAAAAGTCGTGATGCTAATTACTGCTAATTCCATTTTTCTTATCATAGAATCGAACATAGTTTTCATAAGCGTGAATGTAATCGATTCCTTAATATTTTTTTCGCCCTCAACATTATATGGTTTTTCGTTACGCCTAAACACGAACTCTTGCGTTTCATATAGTTCGCTGATGAATATAACAATTAAATGATTAAACTATTAATTAATACACGCGTAATACTTCTTTGAATGATTTAAAGTATTGAATTTATATGAATACATGGATACGTACGTGATATCTGGCTTCTTAAGGCAAGCATAGTATTGATTTTCGTAAGAATTTTCGGTATGAGTACTTTGAGAAAGCAACATGACATAAATCTATATTAACGTACTCTAGAGTAATACAACAAAATTGCATTACTGACACGTCTATGCGAGAAAGAGAAACAAACAAAAGAGTGTCAACCGTTGAAATCTTCATGGCAAAGCAATAAAATCAAAGAAAAATACGCCTAATAATACGTAAAAATTGTTAAATATCAAATATTTCTAAATATAATGTTTCTACAAAAATCCTTTTTTGCTGATATATTGCACGCATATTGTATTTTCTACGTAAAAAAAAAGCAAGTAAAGCTCACTTTTCTTTTTATTTAATGCCTGTTTATCCTCCATGAGCTCGATCCTATAATATCGTTAAAGAAAAAAGTATTAAGATTCTGTTGGATTTAATTGTATTTTTGTTAAGTAGAACTTTTGTTGTGCGTGTGTACATGTGTGTACATGGTAGGACAAATCATTAGGTTTATTCGCGCCGTTTGAACTTTTCGCACTCGACTTCTTCGTTCTTCCTCTAACGTTCAAATATGCGTTTGTCTCATTTTAAGTGCAAAAAGTGCGGAAAGTTCAAGCAACACGAACAAGCCTATGCTGTATTATCTAAAATTATTTCCCTCTAAAACTCTCTCTCCTCCTATCGAAGCAATGTCGCACCTTATTTAAAAAATGAATGTCCTATACGTACCTGCAAGACGTTATCTCATTCTCCATGACGGATAGTCAAGATCATACAACAATTACATTCATCAGAGTTTAATCTTCCAATAATATCCGTATATCATATTGTAAGCATATTAGAGATAATACATATATTGAAAAATGAAGCTGTATGATGCAGTATAGTTTAATTTACTTGTAGAATTCGTGCTCGGATTCGTCTTTCTTGATATTATTTTTATAGCCTTTCTCGAAATCTTTCGCTAAAACTATATAACGATTTTCACGGACCGCGTGCATTCCAGCCTCTTGGCAGATAGCATTGATATCGGCGCCAGAGATTCTGTCCGGTCGCGCTACGTAATCCTCGAGGTCTACTTCTTCGCTCAAATTCATCTTTGCGGTGATTGTGGAGAAAATTAAACGCTTCTGCCGACGATCAGGCAACGGAAATTCGATTTTGCGATCCAATCTACCAGGACGGAGCAATGCAGGATCCAGTGTATCCGCTCTAAAAGCATATACAAAAATATTGTTAAATATTTTATACACACACACACACACACACACACACACACACGCACGCACGCACGCACGCACGCACACACACATACACACACACACACACACACACACACACACACACACACACACACACACACACACACACACACACACACACACACACACACACGCACGAAATTATATATATATATATATATAATATAAAAAACTTATAACTTATTTAAGTTAAATTATTAAATTGTACTTATTATATTAAATTACATTTAAATTAAGACTCCTGAGTGCTCGCAATGACGCAGAGATTAGAAATGGCAAACATAAAAATGTTAATGTTTTTATATTTTTAATATCATCAATCAAGAGGCAAAGAACCAAAAGTCTTAAAATTAATTGCTAACGATATCATATCATGAATGTTTCACCTGTTTGTTGCCATGATAACTTTGACATTAGTTGTTTGATCAAAGCCATCCATTTGATTAAGTAATTCTAAAAGAATACGTTGCACTTCGCGATCTGCCCCAGTTTGGGCATCAAATCTTTTCGTTGCAATAGCATCTATCTCATCTACAAATATTATAGCTGGCGAATTCTCCTTCGCTAAGCGGAACACGTCTCGCACCATTCTCGGCCCTTCACCCAAGTATTTTTGCACAAATTCAGATCCCACTACACGAATGAAAGCAGCTGGAAGATAGGAAATATTAGGATCTCAGAAAAAATGATTTTGATGATTTTGATAAATTACAAAATCATCAATTTAAACATCGACTTCTCGACGAGAATTTCGATGAGAACCTCAATAAAATTTCTTTTAATTGATATATCATACCAGTAGTATGTCTGGCAACAGCTTTTGCTAACATAGTTTTTCCACAGCCAGGAGGTCCATACATGAGTACACCTCTTGGAGGGTCAATACCGATTTGTTTGTACAATTCGAAATGAGTAAGAGGCAATTCTACTGCCTCTCGGATTTCTTGCTTTTGCATATCCATTCCTCCTATATCACTGTACTGAATATCTGGTTTCTCATCTGCATATACAAGTAATTTTTTTATTGGTAACTTCTATTTTTATAAAATATCTTATGATTTTTCAAATTCTTTAACTTTATCAAGAAGTTTCCAAATTTTTAATACTAAATTCTATTCTTAAAATCTCTTATTTCTAATTCTAATAATAAATTATTTGTTCTAGTTTATCTCAATTGTCTAAATACAATAAGTTTAAATATAGAAACAGCTATTACCTGCTTGTAACATTGAGATACTGGAATCAGCTTCCGGTGGCAATACATCCACCAAAGCATTGCTATGTTTATGAAGTGCTACACTAGCAGAGGGCTTTAGAAGTTCCCTATCTATAGTAGACAATATCCGTACATAATAGTTCGAGCCAGTTGTAGATCCTACTATGCCAGTATTCTGATCAACAGCTTCAAGAAACTGGCCGATAACCAGAGGTACGCTTTGAATACGTTTCACTTCTTCTTGTGCATGCAAATATTCTTTCTTTAAATTACGTTGTTCATCCTTGATATATTCTTCTTGTACTTCGAGAAACTCCAACATTCTTTGTAGTTTCTATATATAAAAGAATATTATTAGAGGAACATTTATAACTTTTAACATCTAATCGATTGTATTATCACAAAAACAAATTTGGAAATTTCTCTAAAACTTTAATGAATAATATTGCAGTGTCATTGGAACCATGAAAAGTAGTGGCTTTAAATAGAGTTGATCAAGCGTAGTATATATGAGAAACATGAGTATATCATTTTTAAACATACTTTCTGTATAATTCAGACATACGACATATATAATATACTGTGAAAATTTGTAACCTTGTATTTAGTATATAGGTCTTCGACATCTAGCTCGTCTCCAGCTCCTGTATAATGACCAGTAACGGGCTTACAATCGGACTCACCCACATCCTAGAATCGTAATCGTAAATGTGTTTACGGGCTAATATGTGTGAAAATTTTCACTATTTGGGTTCACCAGTTGTAATGATGCAAAAACTCGCGAATATTTTATTACATATAAAAGGTTATATTCGTTTCTATACGCATGTACACAGTATGGCTAACATAATTTTAAAAGGATATATACCTTATCAGGCAAAATAATGCCTAAATCTTCCATTATAGCCCGAGAAAAGCTTTACGAGCCGACTTATTTGCGTATCAAAAGTTTAGACGACCAGTACCAAGTATCAGCGGATGACTCAAGATTTTTGAGCATTTGTCACAAAGCACAGTTAGCTACATGCTGCGCCATTGAAAACATAACTCTACCAAGATTCACTCTCCTCATCCCTATTCTTTATTCCTTATAAGGGAATTTCAGCAACTTTTCGATCTCATCCGGACGGATTTACAACTACAAGATGAATATAACAAATCGATATTGATCATATATTTTAGTAAAAAATATTCTATATTGCGTCTTTTACATTAAATATATGATTGATCGATTTCTCTCATATACTCATACATTATGCGTTTTTACCTTTGATTATGGGCAAGGTCCATAAATAGAGGAACGGAATAAAGTCAGGTTTCCGTTCCGTTCTTGCGTCCAAAGTGTTCCGTTTCTTGAATGATGCGCCTAGAGGTAACGCGACAATTTCCCGAAAAATGGCGGAGACAAAGTTGGTATCAACGAAAACTTCTAGACAACATAGTTTTAATTCCTAAAGGTTAGTAATATTGTTTAAGTGGTAAGCTGTTAGTTTGCGCAAACTTTTTGCCAGATGTACACTCGTGAACTAAAAGGTATGTGCACCGATTTTTTGTTGATTTCGGAACGCGCTCCAACTTGAGGAGAAAGACAACCACTGCTTCATACGTCAGCGCTGTCACTTATTACGAGAGCAGAAAGATGGCATATACGAGTGTCAAATAAGTAGTGATTGTGGCGTAGACACAAATGTCTTGGAGACTTTGAGTTATAATTGAAGAAATGAAGAAAACAAATAGTGATTGTGAAGAAAAGTGGCAAAAGGCTTAATAAAATTTGTAAAACAGCATATTAAAGGAGAGTATTAATTGTTTAATAATATTTTAAGCGAAAAATATTTTTAAATTTGAGTATAAGTTAAAAAAGTTATAAACCATAATTTCTTTAATGTTAATAAATTTGTCATCGACGTTGAATGAATATATATATAATACTATTATTTCCATAGGTGAGGAATTATATTATTATGTTCAGTAGAAGTAAGCAGCAGACCAAGTTGAATGATATGAGTATCTTGTTAAAAAAATATCACTCGACTTGGTCTGCTGCTTATTTTTTATGAGCGTAATAACATAATTTTCCATCTATGTAAATGATAGCATTACATACATATTCATTTAACGTCGATGGGAAATTTATAGCTATAAAATTATTAACATTAAAGAAAATATGGTTTATAACTTTTTTAACTTACACTCAAATTTAAAAATATTTTTCACTTAAAATATTATTAGACAATTAATACTCTCCTTTAATACCCTGTTTTACAAATTTTATTAAGCCTTTTGCCACTTTTCTTCACAATCACTATTTGTTTTTTTCATTTCTTCAATTATAACTCGGAGTCTCCAAGACATTTGTGTCTACGCCACAATCACTACTTATTTGACACTCGTATATACCATCGTAATACTGCTCGTAATACTGCTCGTAATAAGTGACAGCGCTGACGTATGAAGCAATAGTTGTCTTTCTCCTCAAGTTGGAGCGCGTTCCGAAGTCAACAAAAAATCGGTGCACATACCTTTTAGTTCACGAGTGTACGGTTGCAGACATAAAGATTGTCACTTTTTTTTTAATGACTCAGGATGCATCCATCTCGAGAAAGATGAGAGCTGCTGCTCCGCCTGCGGAGCACGCCTGCGCAGTAACTCATAATGAAATGCGAGAAATGAAACATACGTGGTATGACATAAGTATGTCAACAATCATTGCGTTTAACGGAGAAAACCGCTCAGTGAACGATTAGTGACTAAAAAAATACGATGTCACTTAAAATTTAATATACGAGGGCGGTCCGATAAGTACTTAGCCTCACCGCCCGATGGCGCCACTATCGCAAGAGAAATTTACTATCGTGTAGTACATTCTCGTAGACGGCTACTGTCGAAATTTCAGCCGAATCGGACTCGTAGTTTTGTTTTGACCGCGTGTGGAAGCGGGCGTGTCCGCGGATTTTAGAAAAATGGAAAAAGAGCAATATCGGTCGGTGATTCGATTCTTGTTTTTGGAAGGGAAATCGCGCAGCGAAATCAAAGAGCGCTTGGATGCTGTGTACGGTGACTCTTCTCCTTCGATGGCGACCGTCAAAAATTGGTTTAACGAGTTTCAACGTGGTCGCACGTCGGTTTTTGATGAGCCACGCCCAGGTGCCCCGAAAACGGCTACCACGGAGGATAACATGACAAAAATCCACGATCTCGTATTGGCAGACCGCCGATTGAAGGTGCGCGAGATAGCTGAGACAGTAGGCATCTCAAAAGACCGCGTGGGTCATATCCTGCATGAAATTTTGGGCATGAGAAAGCTGTCGGCACGATGGGTGCCGCGTTTGCTCACTCCGGACAACAAGCGCAACCGTGAGACCACTTCAGAGCAGTGTTTGACGCTGTTTAAGCGCAATCCGAAGGAGTTTCTGCGTTGTTTCATGACCGTCGACGAAACATGGATCCACTGGTACACACCAGAGACCAAGGAACAGTCGAAACAGTGGACTTCACCCGGCGAACGTGCTCCGAAGAAGGCGAAGACTGTCCTATCGGCCGGAAAGGTAATGGCCACCGTTTTCTGGGATTCACAAGTGTGTGATCTACATCGACTACCTGGAGAAGGGCAAAACGGTCACAGGGCTGTACTATGCCGAATTATTGGGCCGATTCGACGCCGAATTGCAGAAAAAACGGCCCCATTTGGCGAAGAAAAAAGTGCTCTTCCACCATGACAACGCACCGGCTCACACCTCCGCCCTCGTCACGGTCAAATTGGTCGAATTGGGCTACGAACTGCTGCCCCATCCACCGTATTCTCCAGATTTGGCCCCGTGCGACTTCTTTTTGTTTCCAAACTTGAAAAAGTCACTCGTCGGGCAGAAATTTGAGTCGAGTGAGGAGGTCATCGCCGCCACGGAGGCCTACTTTGCAGACCTCGAGAAAACGTATTTTTCAGACGGGTTAAAGAAGTTGGAGCATCGCTAGGTCAAGTGTATCGAGCTAAAAGGAGACTATGTTGAGAAATAAATCGCCACTTTTCCAAAATTTTCGTTTTCTTTTGTAGGCTAAGTACTTATCGGACCACCCTCGTACATACCTATTTAAGACCTTGCAAAAGACGCATTCCCATTTGAGTGACTTGCACTATGTATTTATCACTCCGCTGCTAATTTTTCAAAATGTAAGAATTGGGTGCGTTCACGATACTCAACGGTTGAGAAACTGTGGAATAATTCGTTAACGTTATTGGTCTGAATGTAAGGTTCTAACAATAAGAACCAATAGTCACTAATCGCTCACTGAGCGGTCTTCTCCACTGAGCGCAATGATTGTTGACATACTTATGTCATACCACATATATTTCATTTCTCGCATTTCGTTGTGAGTTACTGCGCAGGCGTGCTCTGCGGACGGAGTAGCAGCTCTCATTTTTCTCGAGTCGGGATGCGTCCCGAAAGTCATTAAAAAAAAGTGACAACCTTTATGTCCGCTACAGTACGCACGTCACAAATATTATATATCGTCAAATTATAAATGTAAAATACTTTATAATATTAAATAAAAATGACATAAGTGAAAACAAAGTGCGTATAACAAAATAAATGAGACGAGTGAGAACATAAAGTCAATAAGGTAAAAAATATAATAAATAAACATATATATATATATATTATATACAGGGTGTTATAAAAGTCTGGGAAGAGCAGAATAACTTGAAAAATATGAGTCCTAGAAAAAATGCAAAGTACTGAGTTCTTATTATTTTTTTCTCGCTATCTGACGGTGACCTTGGATTTGACCTTAACAATGACCTTGAAAGTTATTTCAAGGTCAGGTCAATTTTTTTAACGGGACCCTACACTTTTGACCCCAGAAATGAAAAAAGCGGAAAATTATACGTTCGGATATGACCTTGAACACTGCCAAATTTGTCCTCTGAAGGTCACGTAAAGGTCTAAGCTTTTAGGCTGAAAACGCGAAAATGCACCTGCTAGGGAGCAACGTTACGCATAAGAATAAGAATGTAGAAGTCAACGAGGGACATTCAGCCGTGACCTTGCCCTTATTCTCAAGGTCATGAGTTAAGATTATTATTAAGGTCAAACCGGACTTTTTAGGACTGAAAATCCATACTTTTGACCTAAAAATGTCAAGATTGAAAAATTTTACATTCGGATATGTAACGGATATGTTCGGACGTTTTTAACCTTGACCTTGTTCTCAAAGTTAGGCGTTTTACGTTACTTCACTGATCGTGAAGTCTACTGAAAGTAAAGCGTCTCGGAACCCGACCACTGAAGGCAAGGTGTTTCAACCACGACCACCGAAGGCAAAGTGTCTCAAACCCGGCCACTTAAGGCAAGGTGTCTCAAACCCGACCACTGAAGGCAAGGTGTCTCAAACCCGACCACTGAAGGCAAGGTGTCTCAAACCCGGCCACTAAAGGCAAAGTGTCTCAAACTCGACCACTGAAGGCAAGGTGTCTCAAACCCGGACACTTAAGGCAAGGTGTTTTAAACCCGACCACTGAAGGCAAAGTGTCTCAAATCCGACCACTGAAGGCAAGGTTCAGTTAGTCCCGGCCACCGAAGGCAAAGCATCTTGTAACTCGGCCTGAGATTACAAGAGATGTTCAAAATGTTCCCCATTGACCGTTTGACAGTGTGCTGAGCGGATGTACAAATTATCAGTCGCACTCCTTATCATTTCTGGAGGTATTGCAGCACATTCGTCTATGATCCGTTGTTGAAGCCCATCCAGGTTACGAGGTTTAGTGAAATAAACTTTATTTTTTATATAGCAAAGAAAGAAATCAAGTGGTGCAATGTCGGGCGATCTCGGTGGCCATTCGATTGTTCCTCTTCTACCTATCCATCGATTAGGGAAAGTATCGTTTAAATAGTTCCGAGCAATGCGTCCATAATGTGGCAGTGCCCCATCTTGCTGGAACCAAACATCATCAAAATTATCACCAACAATCTTCTGTATTGATGGAACAATTTGGTCTGTTAGAAGCTGCAGATAGGTTTCTGAGTTCAAATTCCCATTTATAAAAAAGGCCCAACCACTTGATTAACATAAAGACCTGCCCAAACATTCAATTTCTGAGGTCGCTGCGTATGTGCTTCAAGCATCCAATGAGGATTTTCGTTGTCCCAATATCTAAAATTATGACGGTTTACTTTACCAGTAATTTCAGAAGACGCTTCGTCTGAAAAAACGATATTATGCAAAAAGTTCGGTTGCTGATCAATTCTTTGCATCATAACTTCTGAAAATTGCATCCTGCGGTCAAAATCATCCTCATTCAACTCATGGTGGAGATGAATTTTGTAAGGGTGGAACTTAATGGTCTTTAGATTTTTGGAAATTGACAATACACTCATTTGAAGCTGTTGAGATGCTTTTCTAATTGATAATCTGGGATTTTCAACAAATGATTGGGCTACTTCAAATTGTCGCTCTTCTGTCGTTTGGGACCTTGATCTCCCAGATTTTTGGCGGTTTTTATTACTCCCAGTTTCTACAAATTGTCTGATGGTGCGAGATATAGTCGATATTGAAATACCATCGCCTTCATTATGAAAGTTTTCATTGAACAGCAATCTCACTTCATTGTATGACCTTTATCTATCCCCTCATCCTCTCATCATCAATAGCGAAATTCTCTCATGCTCTGTAAGAGAAGCCATTTGGAATTAAAAACAAAAAATTTGCAAAAATTTGGTATAATAAGTTCGGTTTCTTTACCTTTAAATGAAAATAATAAGTAATGTACCATTGATCGTTAATAATAATATGATAATAATTCAAAACGGACTAGAATGACATCAAAACTTGTTAAATCGATGAAAACTCAAAAACAATCTATTATCTGTTTGACACTGATAGAATCGAGACAAAAAAAACCTTGAAGCATATACTTTATCGATGGCGAATAAATTTTTCGGATACCGATCCTGGGATTTTTGAGCTCGCTAAAACCGAATCCGACGTCGGATTTTGCAAATTCAAGGTGGCCGATTCAAGATAGCGGCCGATATTTAAGAATAACAAAAATTGGATCTCGTTTAAGGAGTTTTTGAAGTCGTTTCTGAAATCGAATCCAACGTTGGATTTTACAAATTCAAGATGACCGATCCAAAATGACGCCCGATATTGAGGAATTACCAACAATCGGAGTGTGACCTCGTACGTAACGTAAAATCTCACTCTTCACATTATGGGGGGGGTAAAAGTATGTGTTCCAGCCTAAAAAAAATTAATTGACCTTGATATGACTGACACATAATCTTAAGAACAAGGTCAAGGTTGAAAACATCATATCCGAACATAAAATTTTTCAATCTTGACACTTTTAGGTCAAAAATATGAATTTTCAGTCCTAAAAAAGTCCGGTTTGACCTTAATAATAATCTTAACTCATGACCTTGAGAATAAGGGCAAGGTCACGGCTGAATGTCCCTCGTTGTCCTCTACATTCTTATTCTTATGCGTAACATTGCTCCCTAGCAGGTGCATTTTCGAAGATATTCGCGTTTTCAGCCTAAAACAAGCTTAGACCTTTATGTGACCTTCAGAGGTCAAATTTGGCAGTGTTCAAGGTCATATCCAAATGTAAAATTTTCCGCCCTTTTCATTTCTGGGGTCAAAAATATGGAGTCCTATTTAAAAAATTGACCTGACCTTGAAATGACCTTCAAGGTCATTGTCAAGATCAAATCCAAGGTCACCGTCAGATAGCCAGGAAAAAATCATAAAAGTTAGTACTTTGCATTTTTTCTAGGAGTCATATTTTTCGAGTTATTCTGCTCTTCCCGGACTTTCATAACACCCTGTATATAAACTTTTGTATATTTATGTCAACATATATTAATTCAATTTGGTACATATGTCGTCAATGCACAGTTTTTTACCTTATGCAAATGCGAAAATACAATCGACAAAAATGTTAAAATAGTTGACACTTACATCAATGAAGATTTTTCCATCTGGACCACGCTTCTCTAATTTTCGCACGATGCACTGTGACGTGGCGGCCGTGGGGGCGCCCGTCACAAGGAAAAAACCCTCGGTCCGTAAGCGAGAATCGCGGGGGGAGCCGAATTACCCCCCCCCCAAGTAATTAGTCCTAAGAATTAGGAGCGTGCAGGTACGACGGTCCTGCGCCCCCAAGATTTGTGCCCATGGACCTCCCGAGCCGGCCACCCGGACAGGAAGACCAGGGAGGATGCCGAGGACATCGCTCACCGCCCGGCGCGGCCAGCTCAGGTGAATGCGCTCTTTTCTCGTCTCGTCGCCGAAAATTTATCGTTATTCCGCAATGATTACCGCTGCCGTGTATTATTCCGCAGGCTAACACGACAACACGGATGAGGCAGCAATATACCGTCGAACACGTTCTCGACGCATGGGTTGCTAGCCAAAGAGCCACGCTCGCGAGACCCCGTGAGCGAGAGAGAGAGAGAGAGAGAGAGAGAGAGAGAGAGAGAGAGAGAGAGAGAGAGAGAGAGAGCGAGAGACCGAGAGAGAGAGCGAGCGAGACAAGGAATCCGTCCCGCGGATGTCAACAGAATTCGCGGAAGGATTCCCGGACGAAAAAGAAAGAAAGGAATAACAAAACGAGAGACGGGAAGATCCGTTTTTCTCTCTCGATGACGAGATGAGTTTTTCGCCTCGAAGACAAGATTCAGATTCGTTTTTGGGCTAAAACCGATGAGATCGAATTACCGCTCGTGAGAGAAAAAGATTGGTGTACCGCTCGTAAGAGAAAAAGATTTGTGTGCCGCTCGTAAGAGGGAGAAAGATTTGTGTGCCGCTCGCTAGAGATAGGAAATCTAGGGAGAGTTCCCGAGAGCTCCCAAGAGTACCGGAAAGCAGAGGAGGGCCGTGACGGACCGAAGGCCAAGGCCGCGGAGAAGCCGAGCTGCCGCTGGACGCGCGACCGGGCTGACCGACCCGTCGACTATCGAGGACCACGCCACCGGGAGGTGCCCGTAATTGTAAGACCGTCCGCCTGCTTGTTTTTGGTGTTCCGCGCGTTTGCGTGTATCGTTAGAAATTTGGTTTTGTTGCGCCGAGCGGTAGCGAATTTGCGAGTAAACGGGCGGAGAGAAACTATACCGTCCCGCGAAGATTCGGAACATACCGACTTCCGACCAGAATAAAGCGAATTTTCATAGAAGTCGCGCCGTTCTAATTCTTTCCCGCCTTCTCATTTTCCCGATTTCCGACGAACCCTTCCCGTCTGCCGACTCGAATTAATCTCGAGCTACCGGACCCGACAGATTCGCGCGCCGCGGGGAAGCTTCGTCGTTGGTGAGTGGTGCAGCTCGCTGCACCTGGCGCCCAACACTTGGTTGGTGCAAGACCGCGGCGCACGGACCGACGGCGGTTTGTCAGCGCTTCAAAAGAAACGTCGCAGCACATTGGCTCGAAATAACTCTCACACACGTGTTGCGACGATTTTAATACTTCAATGCCGGGAATTGCAGATTCCCATTTTCTACGTAATTCTTCGTCCTGAGGGACTTTAAAACAGACTTTAAAACGGAACATTTTTCAGTATTATCCTTAAATTGCTTTCGGCAATTCGGCATAATGCACGATTTTGGCATTGTATTTACAATCCTTTATTTTAACGATTTTCACTGATTTTAATGCACACAAGTTTTCACGATTTTCACTGATTTCAACCACGCGTGATTTCGACGCACACACGATTACCACCATTTGATGAGGTTATATCACGGTCTTACCTACAGGTCTGGAATACGCCTCAGTTTCCCGTCCGTCCGATAGGTTCGCTACAATACTGGGGTTACTATGCCACACTAACGGTGACACCGCCTACCACTAAAAAACGAAGGAGTTTCCAGACCTGTATCAGAGAGAAACCTGAGAGCGGCCATCAGCGAAGGTTCAGAAATTTTTTTGAATTCGACGCGCCGCCTGAGAAAATAGACGTCAACTACGTCGACACGCTCCCTGAGAAAATAGACGTCAACTACGTCAATGTCGCTCGGTAACGAGGTTTGTCTGTAATAGTTTGGTTCATATCTGAGCTACTACACAGAATATAGTAAAAGTTATATATATCATCAGGAGGAATCATCCCAGCAAACACAATATTACATATAATGTGCATGTTAGTTGTAATTTCCTATTCAACAATACAACTGTTATATAACACAAATGTTATATAATAGTTATGAACTAAGATCTTTATCAGTTTTCTTTCAGTATGTATAACAGTCAAGATATGATGAGCAAAATAATTATTCGATAGAATTGTAAATAAGATTATCGAATTTGAAATACCGTATACAAAAAAATCATTTTCACAATCCTGAATAATGCTTTTAAGGAAATATCATAAATGATAACAATATATAAGAAAAATAATATAAAAAACTAATGCACGTTACATGTAATATTGTGTTTGCTGGAATATTTCACGCACTGCGTGAATTATTTCGCGTAATTAGGAAAGGAAATTATTTGGTAACTTTGGATATAAGAAATGAATAAATTAAATAGTTTCTTTTTATTTTTATATTTTCAATTTTTTATTTCCTTTGATGTGTGTGTGTGTTTGCATGCGTGCGTGTGTATATGTGTTACTGTGTCATATATATATTAATGTTGGGCATTCCTCTGCCTCTTCTTCTCCATTCTCCTCTTCCTCTTCCTCTTCCTCTCCATTCTTCTCTTCCTCTTCCTCTCCATTCTTCTCTTCCTCTTCCTGCATCTTCGCTTCCACCTCTTTCTTTCCCTGTTCCTCTTCCTCTTCCTCTTCCTCTTGCTCTTCCTAAAACAGCTATTACTGCTATTTGTATAATATTTTGTAACCCTTCAGCTTGTAATAATAAGATAATATTAAAATATGAAGTAAAGAGTTAAATAAGAAGTTACAATTTAATATAATGTACTCAGTAAACATACATGTCTAAAAGACGTCTAAAAGCTTTCTTTAAGACAATTTTTAGACTTGTATATGTAAAAAATGTCTTAAAGAAATCTTTTAGACGTCTTTTAGACATGTATGTTTACTGGGTATTGATTAGCGTCTAGGCCCAGTTCCACAACTTCTAGTTAACTTAATCTGGTTAACTTAAAGCTGGTTATTCCACTAGACTTGACCAACTGCATTTGACGTTAAGAATTAATCAGAATTAAACAATCACTATTGGCATTTAATCAGTAGTTAAAGTTATACAAAGGTTGTGGAACTAGGCTTTAGACATATATACGTAGGTAGTCTGAAAAGTTCTCGACCTACACATACATAGCATTAGAAACTGTCAAACTATAATTGTATTGGAAAGTAGCATCCTTGATATAAACCCATGTAAAATTTTATTCGATCTGTCAAGACATTCGAGTAGTAGCACCAGTTAAAAAAGCTTTGTGCAAGATGGGTGCTGCATTTGCTAACAATTGACCAAAAATACATTCGAATGAGTATTTCTCAAGCGTGTTTGGCACGTTTTAAGCAAAATAAAATGGATTTCAAGCGTCGTTTTATAACTGTTGATGAAATTTGAATCCATCACTATACATCAGAGCGAAAAGAACCTTCCGGAATCACATTTTAATGATGGTATTGAATTATTGGAAAAACGTTGGAATAAATGTATTGAAGTTTTAGGAGATTATATTGAAAAACATATTTCACGGCAAAAAAATTTTCTTTCATTGTTACGCCAAGAACTTTTCAGACTGCCCTCGTAGATTTTTATACTTACTGTTAACGTTATTGGCTCGGTCGCCATCGTGGCCATCGCTGCCGTCGTCGATGTCGCCCCGGTAATTTTTTCAGACACCGCCATCGTAGCCGTCGTGGCTGTGGCGGGCGTCGTGACCGTTGTGGTGGTCGTCGTCGTCATCGTATTGAGCTCGTTCTGAAATAATTCATGAAACATATTTGTTATAAAAAAGCATTTATAATATATATACAGGGTGTTTGATAGCTGATCATGCAGACGAAAGTTGGAGATAGATTGGGTGTAACCGAGAAGAAAAGTATGTACCATAATGTCAAATTGGCAATAGTTACCGAGTTATTAATTAAAACATGTGAGCCAACGAGTGCGTAGAGAGCGGAGGGCGGCCGCAGTAAACACGTAGACATTTGATACAGGCGGAGTCAGTGAATGACGGTAGGCAAGCGCGCGCGGCGAGGGACAACGTAAGCGACAAGAGGCGATCGCGCGCCACGAGGAGCGAGCGAGCTTTTTCTTTATAGCTTTTTCCTTATAGCTCGCTCGCTCCTCGTTGTTCGCGCTCTCTCGCTCTTCGCCGCGCTCGCTCGCCTTTTGTCGCTTGCGCTCGCTTGCTCCTCGTCATTCGCGCTCGCTCGCTCCTCGTCGCGCGCGTTCGCCTCTTGTTGTTTACGTTACCCCTCGCCGCGCGCGCTCGCCTACCGTCACTCGCTGACTCCGCCTGTATCAAATGTCTACGTGCTTACTGCGGTAGCCCTCCGCTCTCTACGCGCTCGTTGGCTCACATGTTTTAATTAATAACTCGATAACTATTGGCAATTTGACATTATGGTACATGACTTTTCTTCTCGGCTACACCCAATCTATCTCCAACTTTCGTCTGCATGATAAGCTTTCAAACACCCTGTATATAATTAATATTTAACGGTTAAATATATATTTACCTCATTCGCCGACATCCTCGTATATGCACTGTTTAACACCTACTAAGCAACTGACATCTACTGATACCAACTAACTGGAAAACATATGCAGCACGCTAGGCACATAGCTGCGGATTGTTTATGATTGCGCGTACGTGCGCGCGTTTTCTGAAACAAATAAATCGTATAGGAGCACGGTATAAACAACGACAAAAAGACATACGTTGTAAAAGCTATCCATGTCGAATCCACATAATTTATGTCATGTGAATTCATGCACGAGTTGTTTACATTAACACAACTTTTTTCACCACAGTTAACTTGTATAAAAATTGTCAATAAACTTTACAAGCGTTGTTTTTATCATTCGCTTGACGATTTGAAACAAAAGAAGCGCTATAGCACTGCTGTTTAGCGACTCCGTCGCCGAGAATAGTCAATCTGCGTCGCGAGGTTCACAATAACGTTTGTTATAGCAGTGCTTCGCTATTCGTGCTTTGTGATAAGTATTTTGACCTGAGCTGCAGTCTTTTTTTCCTTCGTGAGATTAGTGTTTTACAACATTTGTTTCTAAATGATCTCTCAGATCTACATGATCTGTCTCTTTTGCAACACGTATTACGGTTTTTTGCCCAATACCATTATTAATAAATATATTTGTATACGCCTGTATTGGTGTGTATCTTCATTGTATTGGTTCATTTATTCATTCTTTTTTTTTCCTTTTACGTGTTGCTTTTTTTTCCTTTTTCCATTTTTCTCTTTATTCTGTCATTTTTAGTTTCTTACTTTTTACATATTTTTTCTCACATATCTAAAATTATTTTTTGCATTGCATTGCAAATAAAAATATAAAGACTATGTTGACTCTAGAAGATAGCTTTTATAACAGGTACATGTATAAAGATTGTCAGAATGGAAAATCAACTGGAAAACGATTATTCAAATTCCCAATGCAGAAGGATGCAAGATATAATATATGGATACTTAATACAGGTAGATCTTTCTGCAATAATAATTTTCTATATAGAGGAAATGCGGATAATAGTACGCATTTTTTACATTTAATTAATTGTACACTGTACAATTTGTAACGATACGACATACTTACTCCAAACTAACACTGAATATGAAGTGTTATCTGCTGTCTGACACTACTAAAAATTGAAATTGATATAATTGAATTAATAGTGCTTCAAATAATTAACAATATGAAATGCTGCAAATACGTACTCTTGGACCTATGAGATAAGAGTACGCACACGAAGTACAAGGATACGCATTTTTTATTCTATTAATTAAATTAATGAAATTGATTAATCCTTTGCGGTCGGCAGATTTCGAAGAGATCGATAAACATTAATATCTGTAAGTTGATCTAAACGTTTGAATCTAGCATCGGGAGGATAGTTTTCTTTCATTATCGCTAGCCTCGTTCGCCGTGCCGCGTGCCAGGCGATCATGAATGCCAGCCTGGCGGCACCGACTTCTATGACGACTTGCGAATGCCGCCACTGTGGCGGCATCGACCACAAAGGGTTAAATGTCATCCTAACTTACTGCGGTTATAAATCCTCGCCGTTCTATATTTTTGCGCTTGTATTTTGATGATCTAAAACTAAAAGGATCCGCCGAACTTCTTAGACTTAACGACGATATCGATATCGTGCGACGCGTAAGCGGTACGCGAGGATGACCGGCCGGTCAATGACATATACGCTGCGGCGGCTACACAGACAGACCAAAAATGCTCGCGACAACTATTGTCGGGAAATTATTAAAATTTTTTCCTCATTTAATAATTACCTTAAAATATATATGTTTATGTGTGTTTAATGATAATATGACACAAAGATGCGCTCCAGCTGATTTCTTATATAGCGACGGATCTTAGCGGCCCGTGATCGTCAGCTGTGTGAAGTTGGCCCCCCGACCACCGAGAATTTAATTTTGACCATTGCCATTCGTTTGATAGCGTTTGGTAGCTCATTCCCAACGTTTAGTAATCAAAACTGCAATAGTTCTCGCACAAAATTATAATGTGAAGTTGCCCCCCCCTCCAACTCGAAAATCGGTTTCTACGATGTCCTGGATAATTTTGACCATTACCAATCGTTTAGTGCTCGTTTGGTAGCGTTTGGTAGTCCATTCCCAACGTTTGATAGTCAAAATTGTTTTCGTTATTAGTAAAAAAGTTTGCATTTGTGAAGCTAGCTTTCTAAGTTTAAAAAATGTTACGCGACATTCCCTTGTCGCAACATTTTATGTAACTTTCATTGTGACAAATTTTTTGATGGTCGTATTTTTACGGTTGATAATCAATTCCTGACGTTTCATAGAAAATAATAGTAATTATTAATGGAAAATCGAATTTGCGAGTGTTAGGTTAGGCTTGCCAAGTTTAAAAAAGCACTTCCCGCGGCATCCTTTCATAATATACATAATTTTCATTATAATCATTTGTTTAATGCGAAGTTACTAAACTATAAAGATTTGCTTATTGGCGAATTTCTGGGCAGAAGATGCATTGACAAAAAAGGGTATTGACATCACCGTGAATCCCAGTGGCGTCTATTTAGCGGCTTCAAGTGGTTTTCATTGACTATATGTGAGATGTAAAATCGAATTTAAATGTCAGTTTGATTATAAACATCAATTATCGAGGTAAGCATTAAACATAACTTATATAAAAAAGTATTTTCTTTGAAACTAACAAACTAAAATGCTGCTACCACGATCATATAATATAATAACCATACCTACGTTAAGTGCGTTAGGATTATCTGTGACATGACGAAAGAGTGGGGATGGGTAAACCTCTATAGTTTAGTAATTATGGTTTAATGGAGGCTTATTTTATGTTTATTTCATCACGAACGATAATCGGAAATTGTAGTCGTAATGAAAATAGAGGTTTTAATGAGAATTACAAAAGTTGATGAAAAAAAATTATTTTTACTTATAAAACAGTTAAACGACTACCAAATGATTAGTAATGGTTAAAATTATGATATAATAGTAATGGTCAAGATGCCATGGAAACTGATTTTCGAACCGGGGGGGCCAACTTCACATTATAATTTTATACGAGAACTATTGCAGTTTTGATTACCAAACGTTGGGAATAGACTACCAAACGCTACCAAACGACCCAAAACGATTGGTAATGGTCAAAATTATCCAGGACACCGTGGAAACCGATTTTCAAGGCGGCGGGGCCAACTTCACATATAATTTTATTTTTTGTGAGAACTATTGCACTTTTGACTACCAAACGTTAGGAATAGACTACCAAACGCTATCAAACGACTATCAAACGAATGGCAATGGTCAAAATTAAATTCTCGGTGGTCGGGGGCCAACTTCACACAGCTGTGATCGTCACCTCGCCGCTAAGCGCGGAACGGCGCACAGTGGGAAAAAACTCATTTTTGGATAAAAATCTACGGATAGTGCAATTTGATTGCTTCTTGTACGTTAGAGAAAGAAGCGACGTGGTAACTGTGCGAACCTAGCACGTTGTACTTATTTTTTATTTTTTGGTGTATTGTTGCAGAACTATTTTTTTTTCGTTATAGAGAAACTGTAGAACTATCAAAAGCGCTATTAGAACTCTACTTGTTTTTTTCATATTGATAGTTTGACGTGTTAACTTCACAGACATACCTTCCCGCTCCTCCACGCTCCTTGAACGCTTTATTTAAATTGGTTATAAGGCCTTCTGAATTTTTATTTTTCATTTTCTCGCGAACAAAATTTTCTTATTCATTATACTTTTACCTAATACTAATGTGCATGAATACTTATCGCTATGAGATGCAGCTAAAAATTATATTTACACGTCAGACCCTTCTCTTGTAAGATGCTACTTCAAGTTGAATATAAGTTTTTTCATAATTAGTTCCGCAGCCGTATAATGCTATATGCAAGATTTACAGTCCTGCAAAAGTTCGGAAGAGTCTTCTTGTATAAAAGCACAAAACTGAATGACACAACAAAATTAAGGGCAATGACTAAATGAATATACGAATTGAGCGCTGGCCGAAATATCGAAGTTGTAGGCATGTCAAAACAGATCTTGTATATTTGTAAGCATACTGAAGCATTTTGTACAGGGTTGTAGGCACGTTGTTAGCACTATACAGGGTGTTAAATTTCAAACGTAACAGGTAAAAAATTCTCGAAAACTATGAAAGATAAAAATAAGCTAAAACATGTGTTCCATGATTTCGAAGGGGAAAGAGACTGGCATTATAGTTTTTTATTTGGAGGGTATTTTCAAGGTCAGTTGAAGGTCAATTTAATTTTTTTAATAGAAAGCTCAATTTTTCATTATATCTTCTTTTTCTACCAATTAATTTTAACAACTTTTGTCTAAATTATTTTTATTTCCTTAATATTTTTTGAAATATTTAAGGAAAACTTGGTAACTTTCAACATTTAATTTACAAGATATCTCGGTAACAATTCGTCGAAAGAAAAAATAGTATTAGACTTTTATACTTTATTTATTATCAAGAATATATTACTATAATAGTGCCCTAACTTTTGTTAACTTATCGACCTTTGGAAATTTCAAAATTATTAAATTAACAAAAGTTAGGGCACTATTATAATAATATATTCTTGAGACTAAATAAAGCAAGAAAGTCTAGTACCACTTTTTCTTTCGACAAATAGCAAGATATCGTAAGTTAAATATTGAAAAAGTTATCTAGTTTTTCCTCAAATATCTCAACAAATATTAGGCAAATAAAAAATGTCTTAGACAACAGTTGTTCAAATTAATTGGTAGAAAAAAACAGTGTAATAAAAAATAGGGTTCCCATTTAAATTTTTCAAGTTGACTTCCAAATGACCTTGAAGGTCATGGCCAAGATCAAATTCAAGGTCACCATCAAGTCCGTTTCAATTTTCTACAACTTTTATATTTAAAGTTTTTCATGAAAACTTAATCCTGCAAAATTATTCGGGGGTCGGTATTTTAAGACAGTCTGTATATCGATGGATTCGATATTAAATGCTCTTAAATTTTTGTCCTTATAAAAACTTAAAAATTTGCAAAGGTAATGGAGAGGAGGAGGAGGAGGGGGTAAAATATTGCATTTTGAAACATTTGAATAGACCGGTGGAAAGAGTATAAAATACTATAAAACTTTTGTCTGAAAGACTTTTTCATATACTTCATATTTTAAGAGATATTAAATAAAAACGAAAAAGTCCGTTT